GTTAAAGAATTCTTTTATTCACTTTTCCGGAAAAGGGCGAACAAGGTGACAGTGTCTCTGATGCGAATAGTTGGAACGTATTATGCATGCCAGTAATCTGGACAAAGCATGCCAGGGATTCCTAAGGATGGAAACTGGGAAGTTTAACTAAAGATGGGACATAGCTACACAATTCAGACTGAACGAATGGTCACTTGATCACTCGGGCACTTGCTTTTTGGGAGTCATTATTTCGCAATTCATGAAGCAGGTATGATTATACCGGATACGGTGCTTTTGGCAAAAAGTCAAAAACTGTGATTTTCTCACGGCTCAAGCATATCAGGCTCATTTGGCACTCTATTTTAGAGACCTACCTCAGTGCTAGAGGACGACATTAACAGGTACAATAACTACAGATGAAGACGGACTGACCTAGATGAACCTAAATATATATGAACGCTCCTTCATCAAATATAGTTCTGACTTAACTCTCAATGTTCCCACGTTCTGGACGCAGAGTGAGTGACACTTAACTTTGAGCGGTGAATGAACTCTACTGCAGTAGCAAAATTCCAAGAAGCTCTACGATTGGACAATTGTGTGATTCGGAGCTTATGATTGGTCGGTTAGACATGTTTTCAAAACACGTACTGCAGGCTCTGAAGAGCATGCTAGGCATTAAGTGTTTATAATATTAACTGTTGATAATATATGGATACAAAAACTTGCGGATAGCCGAGGCATCGACGGTGCAATATGCAGAGTAAGCGTATAATAATCTACAAGAGGTATTATAACCGACTGAACTTTAACCGATTGAACTTTGTCTTTCTGTAGTCTTTCAAGTATCAAAATTCCTAAAATTGCTGAGAAAAAAAACTTGAAATTTGAGCCTTTTAGCACGGGTGGCACACCCAACAGAAGCAAACAAAAACAGCCATTACAAGGAATCAAGACAGAAATACAGATAAAATAATAATTTGACAGGAGGAGCCAAGAAACAAGGCCACATGTTAGACACTTGCTGGTCTACAGTTACTGTAAATTTGAACTGTAAATGTTAGGAAAACATTTTGTGGTAAATTACAGGCCGTCAAATATCAATTTACGTGTGCTATCAATAGACTCGACGTGATAATTTATCTTGAGCAATGTAAAAAACAAATTTTGAGATCTTTATACAATATATAGAACCTTACAAAGCAATTAGAAAGATGTGTGTACTGAACAACAGATCATTTGTTAACTATTAGTACATCAGAGTGAGAGACGTGTTATTTTCACGTACTGTACGCATTTCGATCGACTGGATAGAAAATCAGTAAATTTGCCTGATAATGCGAAAACCTCATGGGATATAATATTAATTATGTCATCAGTATATTTTAGGGAAAATAACAGATAGACCAGGTAAGACACAGTCGTCACCATCACCAGTCAGTGATGACAGGTATTCTAGTCCCTAACCGTGAAAAAATGCTTTGAGCATATGTTATGTAAGCGTTAGCAGCAATTATAGAAGGAATTGAACAAGCGTAAGGATATTAATAAAGCGAACATTTTAACCGATCAAGGACACGCTTAGCTAATAGCTCCTTATACGTTATGATAGCTAAAGTGAAAACCTCAAGCTCTCTCTCTCTCTCTCTCTCTCTGTACACGTAATGATAAAACTAACAGTTCTTCCGGGGCAGCAGCTAATGAAAACGCTGTGGTCCGTTTTTACATACGTCATTGGGAGCTTGGGAACTAATGAACGTTCTTAGCACTGTTTTCGTAACGACAAAACTAATGAACACCATGTATGCGTAGTAGTATAGAAGAAACTGACTTTCTAAGAAATTCAGTGAGTGTACCGATTCATAACGTTACTGGAAACTTCTGTGGTTTACAAGTTATCTTTCTGTATCACTAAATATAGGATTGCAGGTTGCATGCCTAGGTGCAACCGTGCAGGAGACCACCTACTCCACGATGGCATCTAATACTACTACTACTACTACTAATTAACTCATGCCTAAGAACAAGTGATATTGTAGCTCCAGAGGGGTCTAATAGTTAATTAAGATAAAAGGACACAGCATGCTTTTGTTGCGCGGGTACACTGGACTATATTTACTTTAACACACTATAGTATATATACCCCCATCATCCGTGCTATGTAAACCACAAAGGAGCAAAGGAGACCTGGTGAGCCAGCTGTAAGAAAACATACTTTTAACATCATAATAATATAGTCAACTCCAAAAGGTCGCATAATGGCAGTTGGAAATTAGATGAAAGTAAGCAAGGCTATAATATACTCGTCATTCTACTTAATCTACCAGTTCTTTATTTCCAAGATAAGCTAGTGTTTGTAAATACTGCAGTATCTTGCTAAAATTTTGCTAAATATAGCATAGTATATATATATTAAAATATAGGTAAGAGTGGTATCACTAACTTCCTATTTAGCGCAAAATCAGTGAGCTCGCTTAACCAACTATGGCTACAATAAGTAAGCTCGACAATAGCTACAAAGACGGGTAAACTCTTAACAAGGTGTCTCGACCAACTTAAAAGATATCAAAATATTCCGCCTTGAAAAGAAGCAGAACATTGGTTAAGCAATCTCACGACTAAAATATTAAATTTTGAGAAAGTCGCCGTGTTCACTGTAAGCTTTCGTGACAAATTCTCTGAATTGGAAGACAGATTACAAATTAAAGATTGCAGCCAACCTGCGTTATGATTTTGTCACCGGTTCGAATTTTATATGTTGTAAGAAAAATGCCACCTTGTACTGTATGCATTCAGTAAAGTATAAGTTCGTACGAATTGTGCAGGTTACAGGGTTACCCAGTAAAGTATAGGTATCCATCGAATTCTGTAAACATTTAACTGCAATATGCGAGACTTGACGACATCAAACACAAAGACATAACTCTTTAACTTTAGAATCAATATCTACTTAAATACTTCCAACTTTCAGGGTTCCAAAAGCGTTCAGAGTTATTTACTGTTTTGAAAGTTGGGAATGTCGGAAAATAATAAGATTTCGTAACTGATTCGAAATGATACGAACAACAAAAGCGATGAGCTAGAGAAATGTCAAAATCGGAAAATAAACTGAAAAATATTAAAGAAGCACCGGTTTCGTGATATGTTGCACGTTTCACAAAAATGCATAAAAAATGAACGGGGGAGTTTTGGTGTGCAACATCAATCATAAAGCTGCTGGTCAAAATTGACCGTTTGAAACGTGTGACCCTTGCCATCAAAACAATTGGTTCTACATTAGTATTACTATTATATATTATTACTAGTATTATTATTAGTATTATTATTAGTATTATTATTAGTATTATTATTAGTATTACTTCTAAGTATCTAACGTACAATCAGAAATTCATGTCCCAAAGTCACATGATATTATTATCTATAATATCAGCACATAAATGAATTTTTGAAGATCTGCCACTATTACTACGGCAGTTCCGTAGGCGAGCCGCTAACAGTTATAGAATATAAATAAGGGATAATATAATATATAAGAGTAATTGTAAAGGGTAGCGGGTTGAAGTTAGCAGGTAATACTCTTGAACTGAAAGTGCACAAAATCTGTCTGATATGCCGCTTAATTTTGGAGGAACACGTGCCATAACTTGACCGTTCGTATTGCTTAATACTTCCAATAGTGTACCCGAGATCGAGAGTGTATCCTAATAGAGTAAACTAACATGACTAAAATCAATCATGTATCTAATGAAGATCATTAGGCAAAGTTTTAAACAAAAGCACACTGATTGAACGGTGATTGAACGCTGTGCCACCGGAGTGAGAAGTGGAGACAAGAGCAGCTGTTGACAAACTCTGCATTTTTGTGTAAACATGACACGTGCAACAACAACAACAACAAAACACGTGCCAACACGACATGAGGAGACACTGTTAGATCATGCATTAACACACTTCGCTGCTGATGAAGCAATACACTCCGCAAGCAATACACTCAAGCACCGCTGTGATGATCAAGCAGGCAATGGTGCTGTGTGATATTAGAGAAAGGAGCCTCCCAACTTAATTAACCTGATTAAATCGCACTACAAATAGCTTCTAGTAGGCTGTGGTATTGTACGTGGTATTGACGAATCTCATATTTGACGAATGCTCGAATGGTCTAATATTGGATGCTGTGATCTGATAAAAGTCCGTTAATAGCATCGAGATTCGTTTTGGAAATAGTCGTCATTGAAGTTGACAATGCAAATTTATCAATCGTGTGATAATTTATTAATTTTGGCGCCAAGGTAACGTTTGCCTAGATTTGAACTCCTTTGTCACTCCACAGATATATCAACTTGTCTAAATAACAACATTTGACCAAAAATATGTCGTTAAAACCCATTGTAACACCAATTTGAAGGCAGTCTCGATGCGGAATTTAAAGAAATCAGCAAGAGTTGTCAAAATTGGTCTTATAAATAATGGAGGTTATTCTATATTCAGCGTGGCGGTCATCAGTAAGGTGTTGGAAGCCGATTAAGTAACTTTTGATTGTCTCCCACAAGTTAATCCCACCGTTTAGCTCGATTGGAAATACTGTGATTTGTCTAAAGAGGATTGTGCACTCCATTTGTAAAGGGAAACCGAATTTTAGAAGCATTTTATTTGAACAATTGTGACGGATTTTTAAAATATTGAACAATGATACGTGTAAAGGTTGCCCACAATTGGTCAATTGGCGAGACGGTTGCATGTCTTGAGTAACAACCACTCAAGTTCACTAGATTTACTAATTTAAACTTGCACGTAACAATGAATATCATACACAACCACTCTCTTTACGCAAAATTCGAATTTCATTTTATCCATGTTAATTCAAAGCATTAGAAGTACCTTACTTTTTCAAAATCACTACATAAATGAGTTTGCATCTTATAAATATCGAAGTCAACCTAATTAGTAATGAATTCTTCGAAATACCTAACAACATTTAAAAGTAGAACGCTTATGACACGCGTGAACAAACATCAAACCTGCGATGTGTGTTGTAGTAGTTGAGGTTCACCAAGTTAGGCAGAGTAGGCGGTCTATTTGGAGACAGGGCTCTGGGGGAGGGACACGGGCTGTGACACGGAGAAAACTCTCCGCTGGACAGTCTGTATTCTGTGGCCCGGCGGTTTGATCTGCTCCGGTGATAGCTGAAATGTTAAATTAAGTTTACTAAATTAAAAGTCCGTTGGTTGGGTTTTATATTCGGGAAAACTAGTCGGTTAATCTTCCTGAACAGTATAAACATGTGGCATCTTGTGGAATAGACATAAAGCTGTCATCACATGTGACAAAACAATAGTCAGCAGCCTCAACAGTTGACTCCTAATTTGATGTAACTGTTCGGGAGGATGCCTAACTACTTAGATCGCTGGCATAATGCCAAAGCTCTCATGGGAATTTGCCAGGTAGAGATAACAATGCATGATAACTGTTTCGCTCTGGGTAGAGTGCATGACAGAGTAGCAGGATGAAGATGAGCTAAATGACTAATGTGCTCAGAAAAGAGTCGGGATTACATACATTTACTAGATCAATTTGGTGATGACTATGAATCTGTATGTCTGGAGAGGGAAGTCGTCCGGCCTTAGCAGCCTACACCACGTGCGCGCGCACGTGCGTTAATTGCGCGCGAACACAGCAAGCCTATGAATGCAAAAACTTAAGATATAATAATGTCATCGCGCGTTACAAATTCGTGTCAGAAATGCCTGACATTTTGGGAATCTTGGATGAACTCCAACGGAGTTGGTAATTGCTTTGAAGAATTGGCACAGTAAATCACGATGAAACCACCGACAAGTCAAATTAACTGATATATCCAGAGACATGTTCAATTAGACGAACAGTGAAAAACGAAGCACAAATCGTCTGGCTATTAATACATGAGATAACAGTACTAATCTAAGATAGATGCTGTAATCTTTAAGATCTACAATTGAGTCACATTTAAGTTACACTCAAAGATAATGGTACAATTATATTTTGGACAATGACTCACCCTACGAGTTCAGCATTTTCACCGCTCTGAAAAATAATTGTTTTTGAATTCTATATTTTGGTTATAATAATAAAAGGAAGTTCGCTCTTCGACAGAAAATTCTGAACATTTAATGGACACTATTATTCTGGACGTAACACCAGCTCTAAACAGAGCACATGCTGTTTGTATGCTAGCCAAAGATCTGCTGACTAAATAGACTTCTCAAAGTGTAAACTTTGTGTTGAGCATAAAATAGTGTACACTCAAGAAGTACATCGACTGAATCCCGGAAAAGCAAATATCACGCGTGCACATAATTTACAGCTGTACAATTTGGATAAATGCATATTACTTGTACATCGTCAAAATAGTAATGTAAACATTAAACGCATTACTGCATTACAAATGGCTTATTAGCTGTTTTTCGCACTAAGTTTATTACAACTATTAATGGTTGTTTATAATTATATTACGGATACATCAGTAATTGGCAATTATTAAGGATTCAAACAGTACATTCAGGAAAGAGAAAATATACTAAAATAATTCAAATTACAAATTACTAACCTTGTCCGCAGTAGAAAGGCTGGGATCTGAAGACCCTAAATTCCTTCTTAACCTGACAAGATTGCTTCCTTCCTCCTCTCCAAGTCCTGAAATTGAAATGAAATTATAATCAACTTCCGACATAATCCCAACAAAAATAATTGCTATTGTACACGTGATAATAGCAATACCCTTTATTGTATAACATAGCTTCCTTTGTGTAACAATGTACATTTTACCACCACTCTACTATATAAATACAGTGTGTAATGTATAGTAGTAACAAGGTCAGAAGCATCTGGTCTCATATCATTCGTGACGTCAAATTATTTTTGGTATCCTTGATATTGGGTTTTAGAGAGAAGATTTCCAAATTTAGAACAGTAGAATACAAAGAGCACCGAATTTCGCATGGAGTATATGAAATATATAAAACCACCCCGACACACAGAGGGTTGTATCATGTGTGGTTATAACTTTATTACTTCATAGCCATCACGTGATCACGTAGTGATGGGCTACTGGCCGAGTCAGCTTTAGTAGCTCACCACTACTGGCCGTGTTAGTTTTAGTAGCTCAATGAAGTAATTGTGAGTGTTGACAGTGGTGGGGAGGCAGTCTTTGGAAAGCCACTAGATTTTATAGCTACTAGAGAAGTAGTAGTAGTAATAATATGAGAAACGTGAGGGTCACGAAATCCTCTCCGAACCTCCACGTGGTGTGGCCTGGTTGGCACTAACGGGTGGTGTGCTCTCTTGTTGAGTACTAAGGTTGGGACTTGCCAACTCAAAGTTCCCATGGGAACCAGGAAGTCAACAATAACAGCTACCAAGCACCAGGAAATTTCTCTTTCAGATATCAGGTTACAAGATAGTACACACACAAATGACGATACGTTAGACACAGATACCTAGCTCTAAGAGCTATTAAATCACCAGGAAATTCTCTTTCAGCTTTCAGGTCCCATCGAAGTCACCCACCACAGAGCTAGGGATTCCAATTCGCTCATCCTGACTACAAGGACACACTGATAATGAGTAGTCTTGGCACTTCCTCCCTCCAGTAACCACTTTTCAGGTCTTTTCAGTTAAGACAGCTAATGCTGACACACGCTAGACACAGGCTCGTGATAAGACAAAATTAGGGATTTCAACTCTGACTACGAGAACACACTGATAACGAGAATTCCTGGAACTTCTTCCTCCAGTAACCACTTTTCAGGGGACCGGGTTAGCTTTGCCACACTCTTTATTGAAGTGTGACTGGACGCTCTACAATCATCTAGTAGCAGCAGAGTTTGACTGACATCCTTACTGGTTCTATTCAGTTTCTACAGCGGAAGTTCTCAACACTCGAATCAGTTCATCTCGGACATCCTGCAGAGATGCTTTATCACAGCCTGCCCCATTACACGGGGAACCCTTAGATCTACAGTACCCTGGTGGACAGCTTAGCTCTTTAAGCATAGTGGACCTCTTTATTTCTGAGACGCAAAGCTAACCGGACCAGAAATAAACATCAATGCAATGCTTAGGGGATGCAAATAGGACATACAACGTTTAACGATTTACTCGAACTTTTGATTCATTTTTAAGCTCGACGTTACATGGTATCAATTCAGGACAGATATTCCTTCTTCAGGTTCATTGAGGAAATCGTACCCGCTATTTGCGTTATACATGGCAAGTTTCTGGACTAATGATAACTTAGGATCTCAATCAATCATAAATTCCTCTCAGATTCCCAGGCTGCATTTAAAGCCCTTAACAGCACCACTTTTAACTCCAGGTTCGTTCTGAACATCTCAGACCAACTCAACTCGCTAGGTTTTCGCATCGAGTAGAACTTTGTTCCAGGACATGAAGGAGTATACGGTAAAGAACTATAATCAACACCCAAATAAAAGATTACCTCTTCAATCTCCATATCAAGAAGTATAAACAGGTGGCACTCAGTGATAAAGGAAAAACCCCACTAACATTTTTCCTCAACAAAAACAGGTACAAGAAAATTAACATCACAGGTACTCACATCAGATGGCTAACATGGCTACTATCAGGACACAGCCCACTAGCATACTTCCAGACGGTAGCAAACAACTCCAATTTCGAAACACAAGACTGTGAACACTGCCCAGGGGAAGCAGAAACATCACAACACTTCCTATGTGAATGCATCCAGCTGATGACAACTAGAATGAGGATATTTGGTAAACCCATCCTAACAATTGAGGAACTCATCAATAGTAAACTCGACCACATTATCAAATTCGTGGAACAGTCAACAAGGTTTGACAGAGACGATCTATTTGGATAAGCATCTAGGACATACACCAAGGTTCATAAACAATCATACACTAGACCCACACAGGACCATCCCAGATAGTGACACATATTCAGGTGTGGACCATGCTCGGAAGTCCCTCGCCTGCCCGCCAAAGAAGAACATCTGAAGTGGGTTTGCTCTGAGCAAGGTAGTAACAGCTTCGAGACTCCAGAGGTCTGTTGCGTTGATATCTATTATTCTATGTTTTTGTATATACTTAGGGAGTCCTGGAGTGTGGCTAGCAGGAGTCACACTCTGTGGGCACGGCGAGAAGGCCTCCCTCTTCACTAGGAGGCCAGAAACCGTTGACCAAAACAGAGAGAGAGAGATGAGAAACGTGATTACTGAGTTTATCAGACAAGGATTTTTAACAATCTTCACATTGAGCTGGTTATGTTGTATTTCATTACAATAATACAGGGTGGGCCAAAAGTCAGTACCCATACGTTGGGTCTTATACCTCCGCTGTGTGTACACTGTACGTATGGGTACTGACTTTTGGACCACCCTGTAATATAACCCTGTCTGTTGCTGCTTGTGAGTCTTAATTAAAATCAGGTACAGAAAAAGGTTCCTAGTTCAAGGGAGTGTTCTAAACCAGGTTTAATGCTCCTGATGATATTAGGAACAAGATTAGGAACCTGACTACATTGTGGAACCTGACTTTTGCTTTCGAATTCTGTTGAAAAATATCGTTTTAGTGTATTTCATATAAGAACAAATTACCCGTTATGAATGATATTCAGTATATTTTACACTGGAACATTACCAGTTTTGAATGATATTCAGTATATTTTACACTGGAACATTACCAGTTTTGAATGATATTCAGTTTATTTTACACTGGAACATTACCAGTTTTTAATGATATTCAGTTTATTTTACACTGGAACATTTTAAACGAACCCGTTTGGCGTTTACATGTCAGCCTACTCAGATCATATATCAGACTAATCATTATGTTGCAAGAGTCGATCAACCCTTGTAACTCTGGCAACGATATGTTCAAATTTCAAATTGCGATTGTAAGAGAAATTGGTCCGCGTTCTAGCAGAAACAAACCCTCATATATTATATGTGATCTGAGTAGTAAGTAGCAAACATTGTGAGATCTATACACCACCATCTTTAATACCAGGGTCACTTCATGTGGGTGTGTATCATAAATATAATGTTGGAAATTAATACTAATCAGTTTTCAATATTACATGTAATATTACATAATTAACCATAAAATGAAAGTTAAGAACAGCTATATATTATGATGACATAGTTTTGTGCAAAAGCATTATAACATTGACACATGATTAACATTCATCATTGCACTATTAGATCACGTACAGAATCAAGATCTAATTATCCACTTAACATCCAATTAACACAACACAGTTTACAGATCATACACAATATAGTGACAACATTGTTTTATATTATAAATAACTCTTATCTTGCAGCGCTCCAAATAACCTAACATGTAATAGATCACCAATTCAAATTGTTCAAATCAGTTTTTGCGATGATCGGGTAATTTCATGAACAATTATTCGGCACGTTTAATTGATTAGTAACAAGCAATTTTCCATGATACCTGAAGTTTCTGAGAAAATATCTGGAGGCTCCGATTTAGCAGCGGGTCTTGAAAATAGGGCCCCGTCCAGCAAGCTATCAATCTCTGAATCTGGGACGATACAGATGCAACACAAGAAAAAATGTTTAACATGTGAAACACAAGGATATATTTTGAACATATAAAACACAAGGAAATGTTTTAATGTATTGAGGTGAAAATATTGAGGTTCAACAAAACACGCACAACATCCACGCAAGTCATCTAGGATAGCCAGTGAAATCGAATTAAACCAATGTTGGGAACCGGATGCCGGAACCAGCATAATATTTAAAAACATTTTCCTCGAGTGCAGCAGCCTGCAGCATAGGTGCTGAATACTTTCGGCGTACAAAATTTCGGTAAGTTTTTCAACACCATCAGGACCATACCAGCTTGACTTAGGTTTTCTCCAATATTAAGGGCAGTCTTCTCTGTCACCAGGTCCATAACCAATAAACATGTTTCCGAATATGTCTCAACATCTATTCCTCATTTTAAATATCTAAATATTTGAAATGGTGGTCCCGTAAAACACCTCGTTGTCCTAGTTGTCTGCATACAATAAAATATTTTGCTCGATATTATATGTTGATATATTATCTCAGTCGAGGACCCTGCAATCTGCATGGTGCTACATAAAATATTTCTGCGAGGCGCTACAGTAACACTGTAACAGAGGGAAGATAAACAATTGAGGTTTCAGTGAGTGAAAAGATCAACCTTACTCTACAACTCTGGTTTCAGTCAGTCTATACGCCTTTATATAGGATAATATTATGTTAGGTTCAAGTGACTTGATGCCTAAAAATGTTTTCCATTAACTGCCTTTTTTTTACAAAGATAAGAAAGGCAATACAGTTGTAATGTTATAAAATATGGACCAAATAGGAAACAACTTTCTTTCAAATCTCTACCAGTTAAATCTATTGCAACACAATTTTACCCTTCACGTTATAACTATTTCTTTTAATTTATAGTCCTATTTCAAAGAAGGAACACCTTAATTCACAGTACAGTTTATTTGATGTACAGATTACAAATAAGTAATATTATATAATATAATATATATATTATGTGAATTCTGCCTGATTTTAACTATTCATTCAACGGAAACCAAGGTGTACCAGAGAGTTAAAGTTGAAGACACATTATTATATGTTATATTATGTAGTGTAGCCCAGGTAAGGGTAGTTCCCTTGAAACCTCAAAGTTCAAACCCGGGAGAGCGGGAGGTTGGTTTCGTGTGAAAGCTTTTTCGTGTGAAAACCCTGGAATTTCTCCCAAAGCCGTAGATAAATGTTTGGCAATGCACGGGAAATAAACCACCTTTATGCTATGGTAGCTATAGACTTGTTATAAAATTTCGTGCCAAGAAATGCGGAGTTCGCTTAGTTAGTCGTTATATACGCATGTCGCGGTGTGTCGGCCACGAATATCACCGATATTTTAGGTGTACTTATAATGTTATTCGGCAATTGCCGGTATAAAATTCAATTACATTCAGGATTTCGCAGACAAGAAATTCACATCCGGGAAGCTTATTGTAGTCAGATTAAGTCAGTGCAGTAGGTGCTGAGTTCTTAGATTATAAATTCAACATACTCGTATTAACGAAAATAATTTTAGAGGAATGCTGAATTATTTAGGCTTTACAGCACCAAGAAGGGTCTTCTTATCTCCAATGTGCTTATATCTACTTGGAGGAGGCAGCTTAGCGGAGTTGTCTTTTATATTCCACCGGGCGAGTAGACAGTTAACTCGATAGTGTTAATTGCACAATTAAAATGCAATTACGCACAATAAAAACAAGCGTGATGTTTTGCCAGAAAAATCTGCCGGCTCGGGGTCATTTATCCAAATTAGTGACCCTACTCACATAACATGATCCACAACACATTATAATAATCAGATGTAAGATGTGAACCACCTCAGAAACACGCTGCTCATCACGTGCAGTATACTGTCACGTGATCTGGTATGTTAAAATGTTGTTCATAGTGCAGCCGAGCTTGGCAATGCACTAACATCTCTCTCGCTGCTGCTTCACTAAGTTTTAAGAGAGATTGTCAGGTTCCAGTAGAGTGCGGCCTCCCTACATGTGTGCTGTGTGTGTGTTAGCTCTCTACATAGCTCACCAGCTCCGAATTCCAACTTATCGCATGCACAATTATAAGAATGCCAAGATTTATCTTATGTTGTAATACACTACTGGAAGACAGAGAAAATGTAGTGAAATTCAGGAGTAATCTGTAGAAAGTCTGATAGGTATTTACTTTAAGTGTAATTACGGAGGGTATACAGGATTAAAACTACCAATTTAAAACCATTGGTACAATCACGTGACAATCACGTGCAATCACGTGCATTCCTAGACAAGCTGCTGCAGTTTTAATGGAAATTTCATAGTTGCAGGAATCTATTAATAGAACACAACAACAGTAACGTCATGCCAATTTTATGTAATGCAGATTTTAATCTATAGCTTTTATAGTATTTATATTCTAGATTAATAGTGTCACGGGATGTCTGGAACTAATAGGTTTTAATATTTTTAACGCTACCATTATTTAGCATTAGCAAATAGCATGTTGGCTTTGATCGTTTTCCATTACAATAACCCTGTCTAGCGATGGACTACCATTCTTATAGAACGTTCTTGAACTTAATGACGTAAACTATTCGACCTATTATTATATTTCTAAGAAAACGTTAAACGTGAACAATGAACATGTTTGAGGTTACAGTGAGTCAAATTATGTCTCAAGAATTTACATCAGCTCGCTAGCTAGCTTAACATGACATTTTACCAAATAGCCAGATCAGAGGCATTCCTTAGAGTAAGATATGTGTAATATGAAGCTAAAGATCGTGTTTTAAACGTAATATCGTCTTGTTTTGATCAAGCCCGTTTTCCGTTATGAAGACCTTCTGAATTTGTAGGAATTTATGAAAACGTTTCCCAATCTGACAAGAATGTAGTTACTTGTCAAAAATGTAAGCTATTACTATAATATGTTTTAGGTACCAGTCAACTTAATTCTGAGCTAGATACTTTGAGCCATATTTCAGCGACTACCAAGTACCAAAAAACAATCACTAACACATTTTATAATATATTTAACTTTTTTTAAATACTGATATCTGGATATTATCCGGTTGGAAGAGACAAGGACAAGTGAAACAAGGAAGTTAGGAGTAAGGGCAAATTTTCGGCGTCAACGCCATCTTCAGGCTCAAATTATTTGTTATATAGTAGTGTTGAAAGTATTAAAAAAGTAGTTTTAATACTTTCAACACTACTATATAACAAATAATTTGAGCCTGAAGATGGCGTTGACGCCGAAAATTTGCCCTTACTCCTAACTTCCTTGTTTCACTTGTCCTTGTCTCTTCCAACCGGATAATATCCAGATATCAGTATTTCAATCATGAGACTAATAAACAGCGAACTACTCCGTTATTTGATATTTTTTTAAATAAATATATATATATATTAACCAACACATTTTACATGTTAACTAACACATATGATGAACAGTGTTGACAGGAGGGTGTACATCTAGCTAATGGGCCTACTAAGTGTTTAGAAGCTTTAAAGGAATGTGCCAACTAGAACTATACACACTATTACTATAAAATATACTATCAAAATACACTACTTAAAACATACTACCTATAAACTATAGTATGGCAGGTCTATAGTTACTTTACCTGGTATTAAGGTGTGTACCAGGTTGGTCACCACATCGCTTACAGTTCTACTACAGTACTACTATAACAGTACTATAACTACAGTACTTCTTGGCAGGATAATATCAGATATATATCGGAAAAAGCACTGCCTCCCAGACTGCCAGTCTAATTTAAAATACCACGTGACAAGTTCATACCACGTGACAAGTTCATACCACGAGACAAGTTCATACCACGTGACAAGTTCATACCACGTGGCAAGTTCATACCACGTGACAACTGACAAGTGCGTATCAAGGAACGGCATGTAGCCAATAAACCCAAATATTTGGAAACCTTGTTCAGACCGTGCCCAGTGCTTAGCGACACTTGGCTCGTTAAAATGTTTGTAACACGTTGGAGACATTATTATTAGAGCATCACGGCTTGTCTGAAGGTTGTCACGGAGAGACGGTAATAAGAAAGGTATGTTATGAGTAGGTGAGTGATCAGGGAGGTTTCTCTACGACATAGAAACAGTAAAGTTCGAACAGATGTTTCGGTATTTGCTGAAGTCATAGTTAGAGCAATGCTATAATTTTCCTGTTTGGAACGAGTACATGTTTGTCACATCTGGTGCTATCTGGTAACAAGAATCAGGATAACAGCTTCCGTTTAAGATATGACTTTATAATTCTACTACCTGCGAATCATCAACACAAGCATTACATGGTACATGATACTGTTTAGTAAATTATGAAAATTGTGACCAGTGAAATTACTGGATAGCAAGCCGAGCTGCAAATTATCCACAACAGTGGTTTCACAAATTACCACATCTCAGCATTCTGGCAATACTCCAAGTTATACCGAAATAACTATTAACACTTGTTTCCCGTTATCACATAATGACACTTGTGAAAAGTAATATAATACGCTGTGGCGGAAATGATTAAAATATTTCAGGGCAGGTAGTTGTAACTTGATACTGCAGGAAAAGAGAAAATAAACATCACGTGATACGTCTCATTGACCAGGGGTTATTATCTGATAAGAGGGTAACATAATACACTACCGGTCATATTATAAGCATTGCACCGTTGCACTCGTAAACTGATAACAGTAAGATGCTATACTAGTAACACCATGGAGTTATAAGTTCGCATATCTGCAACAAAACATATCTCCGCCAAGACGTTACATCATCTCAAGTTAATATATTGTTATATATCTTATTTAATATGTTAACTGATAAGAATGTATCATTAATATTACGTAATTTTAGCTAGTTTGTTCGGTCAGCTGTGCTGATAAGTTTAATATGTAAGTTTGTTCCTTCAATGACTCAACATATGATTCCTGCAGGAGCGTATGATCCCAGTAGCTACGCTATTACA